ACCCGAAGATCATGACCTGGGAACCTCAAACTTTGACCTAAGTGGGATCACGTTTAGGTCAACACACCCTGTAAATTGGGGTGTTTCTAGCTTTCTTAGTTCCCGAGATCTTAGGGGGATTATCTTATTCTTAATTTATTAGAATCTTAGATCTTAGATCTTAGATAGATCTTAATTGACCCCACCAGAGCGAAGGATATCTAGCCGGCCACCGGGGCGCGTGTTAATAGGCGGTAGACATTCCTTTAAATGAGCATTATGTAACCAATTGCGAAGAATGCACATACTCTATGCGGAAAACCTCGAAAATACCATTTGCTTATGACACTGTTTTTTCACTCTTTTTTCATGTGAATTTTTGCCACTGTGTTTTTGCATTGTAACTCTTCGCATTGCATTGTTTTCGTTATCACTGGCATCGCACTTCTTGCGTAAAATTTCTTGCATACAAAATCATTCGTGTCGTATCTTAGTGCCCGCTTGCCTTCATGCCTACCGTGTTTCCCTGCATGAAATTTTTCGCACAACGCGATATGTTTTGCAACAAAAATGTTTTCAATACCTCGTTTTTCGTACGTGCCGTTGTTCTTCGCATGAAATATCTCGCGTCAAGGGTGCTGCCGTGACTTCTCACTCTACCAACCAGTGCACAGGCTAAAGCCAGTCAATGCGGTGTCTGGCGGCGATCGATTACACAGTTTATCTCTGTGTATCGGTTGAATGGTCGAGGACGTGTCATCTGCAGCAACTGTGGCGGTGGAAAGGTCAGTGCACCCGTAGTATGACTGATGGAACGAATGTTTTTTTGCTCACAGTGCGATGCATTTCATTCGTGCACTGGTGAACAATTGCCTTACGAATAATTACGATGTTTGCTTACCTACTTTTATTAAACACGTTACATGGCGTGGTGTGCAACGGCAGAGTATCCGTACAGGAAAAACGGATGTACGAAGAGCCACTTATGCAAAAATTATGGTGCGGAAAGATGTAATATTAAGAAAAAGTATGCGAAGATCTACGATGCAAGGAATTACACAGTTGAGATGTTGCGATACCAGGCATGCGATGTAAAGGCATAGGCACACCAAGGACGGCGACGCGAATAATTTTCAGCGGGAATAAATGTGTTACAAATAGCGTGCATACGAAAATATGCGTTACAAATATACCGTGTGCCATCAATGCGTGCACGTGCGTGCGCAAGGTATGGCGTATACACAGAAGTACTCGTGTGATTTTCGGCAGATATGAAGGCATGCGCATGCAAATATTTGGGCCTGAAGATTTGCGGTGCGCATAATTGCGCGCGAACGCTTACGCGCACAGCTTTGTGTGCAAAGAACTGCGATAAGGGTATTGGGTATTTCTGCAAAATTTTGCGTGGAATTGTGTCGACAATGTATCCTTTTCAATTGAATAGACTTTTGAGATTAGTACCCTACGATGAGCAGAAGTTGCTGCATTAGCCGTGATCTTACCATCCAATCATAAAATTCCGGGTAGGCACCTTCATTTTTTTTATTTTTTGCCTAAGCTTACTACGCCGCGATGCTCGGCATGATAAGCTCTGACTTCTGACGTCAGCTAGCCTTTACTGCGTCTGCTGCTAGCTATCGGCCGCAGGCTTCCCAAGTCAGCCGCCGGTGGCCCATCCAAATTAGTGTCAAATAGGAGCGCCTAAAGCGACTCAAACACACTCCGCCACGGGGAGTGAATCGGAAGGCAGGCGCTCTTCCGCACACAACACAGCGTTGCGTACGAAAACTGGCGTACGGAGCTTTACGTACGAAGAGTTACGAGTAAGATTGCAAGCATTGCAAACGGATGTGATGTAAGGCTGTCTTCGCCTCAAACTTTATATTGCCTATACATATGATATGTAGACCAAAGAGAGGAGGCGTAACTACGCTTTGGAATACTTAATCTGGATGGGGTTCAATCTCTTTGGGGATACAGTTTGTTATCACAGCCCAGCAACAGACAGAAAAAACGGCGAATTTTCTAAGTGGTATCACTCGTTCTTCTCACATAATTGAGCGTGCGGGCGCGTAGTGTGGGCTTCCAGCTGAGAGATTCCAACAACATTTGGGACCGGGATGCGTGCAAAGCTATGCGCAAAAACATTTTCGCTGCTTTCTTTGGTCGTTTCCTAGCAGCTCACGACGGCCGGAAGGTAACGGACCAATCTAATGCGTGTAAATGAGCACCAGTGACGAGGGCATGTTACGAACTATTAACTCACCTTGAAGAAATATACACACACACACACACACACACACACACACACACACACACACACACACACACACACACACACACACACACACACACACACACACATATATATATATATATATATATATATATATATATATATATATATATATATATATATATATATTGGTTACAAAAGAGTGTTATGAAGGCAGAAGCAAAGAGGAATAAGCGCCCAGCCCGAACGCGGCCAGTTCGATTCTCCACAGTGTTCACATCCGCAGGCGAACTTGATCCGTCAGTTAGGTCATGCACTCAGCAATGCAAAGTCACGCATCAGTTTGAACCATGCATGCCGTCGGTTCCACCAACTACCAAGCAAGCGCTTTCAACGACATTCACAGCGATACCAGAAAGCCCAAAGTTCAAACCCAAAGGCTGACTAATCATTCTTAACGCTCCGACCCGTCTGGCGCGCGGAAGTGCGCAGCCTGGCCCATGGCGCGCCGTCTCCCGGCGACGTGCGGCGCGCGGCGGTGCGGGCGGGCGGCGGGGCGGGCCGGCCACCCAGTCGGCGACCTCCGACCCGCGCCGGTGACACGGCGACACCGGCCGGGTGGCGGCGCGCGCCCCGCCCGCCGCTCAAAAACACGCCGCCGCACGCCGGCCCACAGGTGTCGACGCCCGTAAAAAGCGCGGCTCCGACCGGGCGATAGGAGCGGGGAAACGTCGAGGGGGGAGGGGGGGGGGGGGGGGGAGAGGAAGCGTGCGTAGTGCCGATTTGACTGGAAGGGAAAGAGATGGATGGTTGTTGGCCGCTGGGGCGCGCGCGAAATCTGTCGATGACGGGGTAGTTGCTGCACAATGCTCGGGGAAAGCGCGCCTTTCAGCCCGAAATATATTTTCATGGTGCATATTCAGATTATGAGTGCTCGAATCGGACTATAAAGCTTCATCTCATCCATTTAGATGTGGACATTTGCTTGCCACCTACAAAACCCAAAACAAAACGACTTTAACGAAATCCGCTGTGGTTGAATTCGCCCGCAGCGGAATCAGTTGTTCATTGGCACATTTTGGGCTCAGTCGTTTTTGTCAGAATTGCTGTGAGAGTTTTTTTTCTGTTTTCTTTCGACAACCTTTTCTCTTGAAACATCCCGATCCAGCGGACACCGAGCAAATTAGGTTACAACGCACCAGATTAAGGCCGGTGGCCGTCAGCAGGGGCGAAACGTGTGCGCTAGATTTGAGACGTATTATTCGGCCGTTAGCACTACTTTGTTAGCCACCAGAAAACTTATACCTATACCATACCATACATGGAATCGATTAGCGTCCTGAAGGGAACTGGACAGCCCAGGTGCGCTATCTATTCTCTACATGGCGCTATCTCTGCAGAACCAGTGCCAAACTTTCTAGCGATAGTCTCCAAATGTGACACTCTCGCTTCCATTTGTGTGCGTATGTGTGAGTGCGATCAGAGACGATCCTGAAGAATGGAGTGAATCCTATGTGTAGATGAATTACGCCCATGAATATGCTTAATTTTTAAATTCAGTGGCCATGGAGATAGCAAATCCCTGCCCATCTTGTTCTCCATCCGTGTTTGTGATCTCTGGGCTTTCTCAGGCCACCCCGCCTGAGTACCAGCGCAGCACAGAATCACTCTAGCTGCTTACCGCTTACCGTTCCCCAGACACCTTCCCAGACGTACGTAAACCCGCTGCAGTACCAGGCCAGCCCAGACCCGCCTTTGCGCCTCATTGGTTGAGTTCGCAAGGTGGCAGACCCAGGCCCACCGTAGCGCTCCAGCAGCGCGCGGACTACCAGACGCCAGACCCGGACCCGGCCGGCACCACGTCCGCGCGGACCCCGGCGTAGCCCCGGTTGTAGACTCTGCCGAGTGGGAGGCCCGCGGCGAGTGCGGAGGCGACGCCGCCGTATTCCGCTGTTGACACGCGGCCGCGGCGGCCGGCCGCCACAAAGCGGCTCCACATACAATCACGCTGTGTCCACAGCCGCTAATCTGTGCGCGGCCCGCCGCTGATGAAAGCGGCCCGGCCGGGCAGCGCCGGCGGAAGTGTGAGCGGCGGCACGCGCGGACTGCCGTCGCCGCCGCCGCCGCCGCCGCCGCCGCCGCCGCCGCCGGGCGCTCAAGAGACCCGCTTCACGTCCGCTGGCGGGGAGCTGCCGTTTGAACAGCGGTCCGAGGGAAGCGGACGACAGGTCGCCGCGATCGCTGGCGGCGGGGCACTGTCGGGGAGCGAGTGGCCCGGCTTCGGACCTGACGCGAGGCAGGCGGCATGAGCAGCAGAAGATGGAGCGAGGGAGAAGTCACCTCTCCCAAGGGGGCGTGGCAGCTGTTTGTGTCATATCTATCGCATGTCGCTCTCGATTTCGTTTTAGGCTGCAGCTTCGCAAAGCACAAGTTGCGATCATAAAGTCGGCTTGCAGTGTTACATAACCGAAAAGTCGTGCCTATGTTTCGGGGAAGTTGGAAATGGAACGACGGAGAAATGATGGACGATCTCAATCAAGATAATGCTTACATTAAACCACCGATTGACGTTCATTGCACATTGCTGGGTGCATCTAAAAAGGCCTCGTGGCAATTACCAGTAATGCACCTTTAACGGCGCAGGCGAGCGAGACGATAATGTGTGTCAGAGTTGCCAACCGTTTCACGGAGAGGGCGCCAAAACGGAGCTTGATGGAGTCGGACGTCTGGAAACCGATAGGATTGGGTGTTCTCCATGCGTCGGACAGCTAACTTCCGTAACAATATGACAGGCTCAGGTGAGGTTATGAGAATCGGTATAACATTCTTTTAAAACATAGCAGATGCGTAACATTCTCTTTAATGGAAAATTTAACAGTTCAGCGGCGCAAAACTCGTAGGTTAAGCCTCAAACCATATGAGCGAAATGAGGTTCAGGATCTTAATCGACGACATTGATGAGCTTGCAGTGACTTATAGTCCGATAACTGCGACCAGAATGTTACAAAATACGCCTACATTTTGGGTGGGTGTTGGTCGGAAGAAATCGTGTAAAACGCCTTTGTAGTTTAAAAGGTCTGACTTTTCTCAAATTAGGCGCAAATGTCTGGCATACTCGGCTGGTTTCGGAAGCGGTGGCATTCGTCGCTCTCCGGCTGATTTCTGGTGCACACGTGGAGTCGGACAGCTTTGAGATGTCTAAGTTATAGCCGGTATATTCTCCTACGCCGCGCAGTTCGGTTAAGGCCGTCATCTGGTTTGGTTGCTGAAATCTGACATCCATCCCTACAAACAGTCCCAAAATGGCCGGGACATGACTTGCACTTAAGAGCACATGACTGTCTGCATACATCAATGCACACTTTTGTTAAGACAATTGTCCGCAGTTCTCCAGCCAGGATATGCTGCTATCGAGCCGTGGCAACACCGGGTCAATGAAATTCGGGTCCAGTTTTCACCCATGTTCTTGAGCTGTTTTGCAATTCGAAAGTCACGCCTTTTATGTTCTCGGAACGGTGAAACGAAATCGTGACGATTTTTAAATTTTGCAGGTAAACCCCACCTGTTTAAACAGATTCAATACAAATACCTGATAATCTGTGGGACAATTTTCAGGGAATGGGCCTCTCATTGCCGCAGCCCGCACGGTTACGTGATGAGTGGTTTAACATATATTTGGTTCAAGAAATCCAGACGACCGGGACAGACCTGGCCGCCCAAGTTTTTTCTGTACCAACAAACGCTTGACGACAGAATACTGCAAGCCTTGCTGTTGTGTCTTCTGTCTGCGGCGCCATGCCACAGCGCCTGAAGAGCCGTCGCACTGCCTGTGCGTGATGGCGGCATCGGCTTCCTACAGACCATATCCTAATGACAAAGTTGCAGAACTCTGACAGCGCGAGGATCAAACGGCTGGTGAGGAGAAAGATGCAACGGGAAACGGGAAAACATGAAGTGATCGGTGAGCACTGCATGAAAAGTATTTGTCGGCGAGCCGAGCCTCTGTAGCGGATGAGCCATCTTGGCGTCAGACCGCGATTGGTGTCGGGTCCAGCCGTGGGCTGATATAGTGCTTCTCCCACGTGTTTCGAGGAACAGCTTGAGGAGGAGATGATATAAATGAGTGGCTCAATAAGTAAATGAGTGAACTGATTGGTGTAACTCATCTTATGGCAAATCGACACGATAAATGAAATATCAGTTCTTAGAAGACCGAGTGCAGGTGTCATATTTTGCTGCCATCAAATTTAAACGTGAATGCTTATGCAAAGTTATGTTGTACATTAGATCACAATGTACCAGCGTCGGTAGGTTTCTGCACTGGTCGGTTCTAGGTACTCATCAAATGTGGCAGGTGTGGCGCATCAATCTTCTTCATAGCGTTAGCATGAAAAACTTACATTCCATTGTTGGTCCCGCGTTACCGTTTTAGGGAATTTATCGGGAGCCTGAAAATAGAGCAAATAGTGCCGGGAGTATGTGCGTATGTATTGATGCACCCAAACAAGATAATTGCATGCTGCGTAATCATCATCAGATTTACACCTTGACATAAGCTTGCAGCTCATCAGTGTCATCGAATGTCGGAAGGCGACGTTTATCTTCCTCCCATCTGGGCTATATGCTGGTAGGCACTGCATGGATCAGTATGCTCGCATCGGACAACCGCCGTCTGCAAATTGAAACGCTGCCATATTTCATTCTCCCTCTTTTATAATCGCGCCGGCTGCAGCCAATCACGCCTCGCATGGCGGCGCCGTCGGCGGCGGCGGCGTCGCGGCCGGCGCGAGTATCGGCGGCGGCGGCAGCGGCAGCCGGCCTCCGCGGCGGCTGGCGGCGGCCGCCGGCTGCCGGCCGACGCCGGCCAATCAGCGCCGGTGGGCGGGGCGGCGGCGGCGGCGCCGGGCCGCTGCCGCCGCCGCCGCACAGCCGCCGCGCCGCCGCCGCCGACCGGGCCGGTATGGAGCCACTCGGCTGCCTGACCCCGCCTCCGACGCCCACCTCGCCGGCCATGGGCTCCCCGGGCGCCACCGACGCCGGCCTGCCGTCGACCGGGACGGCCTTCGAGGCAGCCAAGCCCCGGCAGGGCGCGGCGGCGGCGGCCGCTGCCGCCAGCATGGCCGCGCACCGGCTGCCGCTGCTGTACCCGCACCTGCTGCAGGCCAGCCCGCTGCTGCAGGCCGCGCAGCTGCAACAGCAGCTACAGCAGCAGCTGCTGCACCGCTACTGCTCGGACGAGGCCAAGGTGCCGCCGCTATTCTGGCCGTACTACCCGGGCCTGCCACTGTCCGCCACCCACCCGGGCCTCCTGCTGCCTCCGGCCGGCCGCGCCGCACGCCCCAAGAAACGCTACATCTGCAAGTACTGCCAGCGCGAGTTCAGCAAGAGCTACAACCTGCTGATCCACGAGCGCACGCACACGGACGAGCGGCCGTTCCCGTGTGACGTGTGCGGCAAGGCGTTCCGGCGCCAGGACCACCTGCGCGACCACAAGTAAGTGCGGCCCTTCATCGCAGTGACAATAGCCACGAGTGATATGTTGTGTGCGCCGACGCTGAAATGTTAGCTGTTGCTGGTGTAGAAACGCTGTTGTTTTAAGCTCAATGTGTTGCAGCGTTCTGTGACGGTTTGTTTACGGTAATTATCAGTTCGCATGTAGCCAACACTTTCTTATTTCGCTTGCTTCATTTCAGATACACTCACAACAAGGAGAAGCCGTTCAAGTGTGAGGAGTGTGGCAAGGGCTTCTGCCAAGCCCGCACGCTGGCCGTGCACAGAAGCCAGCACGACGAGCCGCGGCTGGCTCGGCTGGCGGCCCCTCCGTCGCCGCCGCAGGCTCTGCAGGCACTGCAGGGAGGGCAGCGGTTGCAGACCCAACACGCACCGCGAACGCCAGACGACCACACTCCGCCGGCCACGGCTCTCAACCTGGTCAGACCCCGCGCCACCAACTTCACCATCGCTGAGATCATGAAGCCGGCGGTGGACAGTGGCCAGGCGCCGGCACCGGGGGGACGGGCCAGCGGTCACCGGTCACCGTCCTCACCTCTACCGAGGACATGAAGCCGGCGGTGGACAGCGGCCAGGCGTCAGCACCGGGGGGACGGGCCAGCGGTCACCGGTCACCGTCCTCACCTCTACCGAGGACATGAAGCCGGCGGTGGACAGCGGCCAGGCGTCGGCACCGGGGGGACGGGCCAGCGGTCACCGGTCACCGTCCTCACCTCTACCGAGGACATGAAGCCGGCGGTGGACAGCGGCCAGGCGTCGGCACCGGGGGACGGATCAGCGGTCACCGGTCACCGTCCTCACCTCTACCGAGGCCATGAAGCCGGCGGTGGACAGCGGCCAGGCGTCGGCACCGGGGGACGGATCAGCGGTCACCGGTCACCGTCCTCACCTCTACCGAGGACATGAAGCCGGCGGTGGACAGCGGCCAGGCTTCCACACAAAGCGCACGGCCCAGCCCCGAGCCAGCGGCCCGCTGCGTGCTGTGACTGGGCCGAAGCTGTGTCAGCGCTGTTCGCCAGCTGCTGTGTTCCCCGACCGACCTGTGCCACCGGAGTGCGTCCGCCCTGCCCCGGCCGCTCGTTGTGAATCAAACCCAACGACTGCCCGATGACCACGGGCACGAACATTGTGTAGCGCTGTGATATGGCGTAGCCAAGCGACCGTAGTCTTCACCTGAGCCAGTTTGTTTTCCGTTGTATATTTACCGCGTGTGTCGTGCGAGATCAATGCGCCAATATATGCTATCCAGAAAGGCAGGCATGGTTTGAGATGTTCGCGAGAACTGTAACTTGCGAGTGACCTGACAATACCGATTTCGTGGCTCCCTGACCTCCTGACCAGGGACAGATGTTGCACCTACCATACGTCGATGTCTAAGTAGAGGCAGATAATGCCTTAAGTCTGTTTGTTTTCGTTTTCGTTCCGATTGCATCCTCAGACAGAGGACACGCAGCTCCTTTTTCATCCAGTTTTTGTTGTGGCTGGCAGCCACCTTAAATGCCTCCTTTGTGTCGCATATGTCGCGTTTAAAATGAACGACAGGCCACATCTCTCCAAGATGTATGCGCCCGTCAACGCCATGTTACCAGTTACGGCAGCCATAAGAGCGTCAACCTAAGTCGGAGCAATGCCACGAACTTCGCTTCGCAGCTGAAGAATATCCCAGACGAAGGACATACAGGCCTTTTTCATCCAGTTTTTGCTGCGGCTGACAGCCACCTGAAACGCATCCTGGCGTCACAAACGCATCCTTTAAAATCAGGCACAGGCCACATCTTTCCAGAATGTCCCGTCCGACAACATCATGTCACGCGTTACTGTAGCCATAATCACGTCAACGTAAGTCGGCGCAATGCCACCAACTCCGCTTCGCACCTTTTGTGTGACGTGTGACAATCCCAGTTCCCGATACACGGCGCTGGTTCACACTGGGAAGTCACTCAGGCCTCACAGCATGTTCGGCTTGGCGCGACAAGGCGTAATCTAGGTGCCGCGATACCCATGGTAAATGTTTCCCCCAACTGCGGTGAAAAACCACGATCGTAGCCGTCGGAATCGGTATTATGATATGCGTCGGACAAACGGCCGCGTTCATTCGCTGTTACACGGGACCGAAGTGCTTCCAGTGCACCAACGGAACGTCGTAACGTTTATATGTAGTCACAAAATAACGAGCCGAGTTACTCGGTATAAAACTAGTTGAAACTCCGAGACAGCTATGACGGGAAGCAGATTAGTCTTTTACGATGATGACATGGGCGCTTGAAAGTCACAGCATCCATTTTAAGATAGTTTTACTGTTTTGGACGTCTTGTTTTAGGCTGCTAACAACGCAATCAACCGCCATATTTTGCTACAACTAGTCAGATTCACCGAGCGCTTATAACCGCAGAAGAAGGAAAGTTTCATAAAGTTGGGAGGGGGGGGGGGGCAGGTTTAGTGAAAACCTAGGAATGTCTCCTGAGAAGCAAGCCCAGACAACCGGGAGGATGGGGAAGATAAAATACTTTGCCCGCTCTTAATTCATCATTAACACGTTTTGAAGATAAATCAATGTTTTGTTGATGTGCCATCCATACGCCAGCTACATTGGCTGCAACAGTTCTTGGTTGGTGCATTGTCTTTCTTACTCGACACATGCATGCCATTTGGCAAACAGGAACTCCTAAGTTGCCAAAAATCTTCATCCTTTTCAGCATCGCTGCTGAGATGGCAAAATCCCGCGAGCGGGGAAGTATTTTGGGTCATTAAGAAGACATCTACCCGCAAAGTTTACATGCCATCATAAATGCCGGATACAGACTATCCAGAACTTTGAATTCGAACCCATCCAAAGATCCCAAAGCTTTCATAAGACTGGATCTCGCCGACTACTTTTCAAGATATTATTTTTTGCCACAGCATCTGAGGTAGAACATATTTGGAGCCTTAAAATACGGTTTGCCAATCATAATATGACAACATTCGTAAAGCCGGGCTGTTCCTGTAAAAACTAAGTCACTGAATTTAGGTCCTTCTTTTGGATATAGCTCGCCTCCGACCTGCTCCGGCCCGCCGTCGGCGGCCGCCGCCCTGGACCGGCTGCTCATCGGTGACGGCCGCCACCCGCGTGACCGGCTGAGAACCGATCGTAAGCTTGCTTTGTTGTATGTTTATGGATCAGCACCACTTATAAATGGTGTGTAAAGCAGGAAGGACACCTCCTACAAAACCTGTTTCAGAACTGCTTACCATTACACCACACCACAGCAGAATATAAGCTTTCGGGAAGCTGTCTTCCTCAGTCATGAACTGGTATACCGGGCGTTTGTTTGCCCCTCCTTCAACGTAACCGACTTAACCCGTTTCTCAGGAAGCTCCGTGAGACGACCACTTAGTTCTATCTGACTGAACGTTTAAGTCGCTAGTCGACATCAAAATGATCGCCAGGTAGTTGATACCTCCCGTGTGATCACCATTATTATCGTATTTGCCGGGAGGGTGTCAATAATTTTTAGACACTTCATGACACGGCCAAAAAAGCTGACAACAACGGCGTAGCCATGCTGTGGATTACCTTTTTATGTGCAATTAAATAATCAATGATGTTCATTGAGCTTTTGCTTCATAAGACACTAGCTGCTCAGGCAGCTAGGTTGGGCTCAGGCAACTGCTTCTCAGTTGATGCAAGCTTGCGATTCCGTGGTTGATCATTGGGGCACCACCTCTATATTTAGGCTTATGCTGGTTCCCCTAGTCGCGCCCAAGTGCTCTAGACTCTGGACTCCAGCACGCGGTAAGTACCTGTCGTTCAGTCCCAGAGGCGACCAACTGTTTGACCCCGCAGATGCCAGCCAGCGGGGGGCGAAAGAGTCTCCACGATCACACGGTATGACCGCGTCAACGCATTTAATGACATGTGAGAGCTTTCTCCGGACGGTTGCAGGACAAATTTGCTATTGAGAGGGGCAAGCGTAGTCTCAAATAGTTCTGTCTACAAACCGTTTGAATTAAGCCAAAGGCCAAGGTATTTAAAAAAAACTGACATGAATGGCGTGGTTCAACACCAGCAGCACTCAGAGATAATAATGGAAGGCGACAACCTTCTACCTCGAAAACTTTGCTAGTGCTGGACTAACAACCTCGCCATGTGTCTCAGTCTACTTGCTGACACAGGGTGACACATCGTGACACCTAAACAAGCGCATCGCACGTGCTGCGTAGCACCTACGGTGCATACTACTGCACTGTTTTGCTTCTGCTTTTTGTCCAGTTTTGTTCAGCGTGGTTTGATGGCTGGCGAACTCTGTACTTAGGCATGCATGCTGGTGGTAGTACAAAGGCAAGCTAGCTGCAAACCTCGTTAACATTGCTTTCCCCAAAAAACTGTAAGCTTTTTAGAACTTAAAAACAAAGCAAACTGAGTATGTGTTTATATCGGCCCGTCGCGGCGGACTTTATGAAACCTTTTCGGAGTGATTCACATTCATGTGGGGTTTCCAGCTGAAATAGCTATCTAAAAGACCTTTCGGTGCTGTTCACAATACTGCCCTTCTTAAGACCTTAGCCCCTCCAGCTTCTGAGTTATACGCCCGCGAAAATGGGAAAGGATGCATCGGGGAGCGTATTTCAAAGTGATTTTAGCATTCATGACTTCATAATAACGTTATTCAAATGCTGCCATTCCTTAAGCCATACGGCGAACAAGGCCACGACAACATAACTGTCGAGGTGTTCACATCTGGCGTTCGTGAGCGCGATATCCACATATAACGTCAAATGGCTCCCAGTCAATGTTGTGCGAGGTACGATAACGTAATCAAACCATGACGCATTGAGGATCATAGTTGCTAAACAGAGAATTGTGCAGTCAAGAACAGTCTTTTCCACTCAAAAAGTATACCAATAGCTATAAGTGAGCTTGTTTCAGAATATCTGGTGCTTGCTTCAGCATCTTCAAATGTGAAACATTCCCTTTAACATACTTTAAAAAATAGTGATAGCCAGTATCCAGAATGTGCTTTCCAGGGAGCGTGGGGTGGGAACTGGGCAGCTACACTGAGCAGTCACGCGTCTGGGCAGGGCCGCCACAAGGAGATTTTCTTAAAGAGGAGGGTTTGCTCAGTGAGCAACCCCTCCAGTGAGCACCCTGAAGGGGGTAATGAGTGCTCAGTGGGCACTCTTCGTAAAATAATGAAGGAGCCCCACTGACACCAAAGTAAAGAATGAGCGCCTAGGGAGGGCCCGGTCCTCACCCCCCCCCCCCCCCCCGACCTCTCCCTCTCGTTTCATTCCACGGCTGGCTGCTGCGCCCCGGACGGGAATTGTAGGGTTCTGAGGTTGACCTGGCATGACGGCAGTCAACGCTTCAAAGCTGGTGAAAGAAATCTAGATCTGTTCACATCCAGATAAAACCTTCAAAGTTCGAGTTCTCGTACAGATTGTGAATCATATTACACTGAGTTCTCACATTCTGATGCGTTTTTCAACCATTGCTCCCACAGCTGTTCTCTGAGCTTCGAGTTCCACTGCAGTCAATGTCGGATTCACCGGGCGAAGCCGGGGTTAAGGGGAAGTTGCGTGGTTGAAGTGTTGAAATTAGCAACGATATCTGGATGACGAGAAAATAGACTGCGAGCGAGTGACAGTAAATAAAAACATTTTGTTTTGATGCTTGCAAATGCATTGTTACTCTGCAGCAAGTTTTCTGGTTTAAGAATTCATATAGAAGTGCGATTTAACAAAATATATGATGAAATTCAAAAGGAAACCTATTTTTCTGCCGGGATAAAGACATAATTTCAGCAGAGCTTACATATATATATATATATATATATATATATATATATATATATATATATATATGCATGCGTACACATATATTCCGCTTTGAATTCCTGAAAAGGTTTTATGTTGCTTTGCAAAGATCACAAAACATGAAGTAATTTCAAGACATCTGCATTCAAATCTGCTCGCCGCGTTCCAACTTTTGAAGCTGCAATTGAAATAATTTAGAAGACTAACTCAATTCATTTAATGTTTCTTGCGACATGGTCTGTTAAACATGTCAGTGGATCCAGGGGAGGCAAATAAACAGCAGTCCAAACAAACCCAGCTTTCGGAGGCCACACAGCATTGAAATGAGTGGCTGAGCGTGGCGGTGATCCTAACCTAGCGTGACCTCAACCGCATTATCCGAACCCCAGCCCCGAACCCAACGTACATCTTCATGGATCCAACATCCTGACGTTCATGCTTTCCTGTCTCCCCTCATGTG